ATATATACGAAGAAAATTTGAAATATTTAATGTATTTAAATACTATATATCATCTATTAACAACATGCTAATAGAAACTTTTTATTAATTCAAAATGCAATTATTATCGAAAATTTAAATATTACATAATATACAACTAAAGAATAAATTAGAAAAAAAGAGAAAAATGTAATTATTCTATAATCTAAAAGGATGAAAATAAAAAATTAGAAATGAAATCACAAATTATTGGTGTATGTTTGCTTCTCAATTATTTCGTCTGATGATAATGACAACGATGGTTGTGGTGAAGGTGGTAGTGAAGATGGCGTCGTTTCACGTATTGTTATACCAGCCGGCTGTGTAATTGGAAATAATGGAAGCATAAACGGTGACATGCTTTTACAAGCCTAAAAAACAAATGAAAAAAGAACAAAAAAGCAAAACATTCTTAGAAAAATTTATTTTTTCTAAAATTTTAAGCAAAATGATTTAAGTGTATGATATAATAATTTTAATTAATTCGTAAAATTTTTCAAAATTTGACTGATCATGTGATAATAAAGTAAATTTTGTTACCTGTACACGAGGATATTTTGCATTTGGTCGTCTTCCACGTGGTACCCTTGAAGCAGCTAGTAGACTATCGATGGAAAATGTATTTTTTGGTAATGTAATACTTTCGTTACTTTTCGTCTAAATTTAAAATCTTTTATTGATTGAAGAAATAATATTTAATTTTGCAATATCTAAAAAAAGGCATACAATTATAACTTACTTCATTTTCCTTAGTTTCACTGGAGGTACCAGATTTTACATTTCCGTTAGTATCACGTATAAGATTTTGTGCACGTTGTGCACTTTTTCTTAATTGCTCCTTCTTACGCCATTTAGCCCGTCGATTTTGAAACCAGACCTTAAAATATTGTAACTTTTATGATTTTAGAAAAAAAATTAAGAATTTTAAAGTCTTATGAAAAAATCGAGCGTATAATTTTAACTTACTTCATTTTTGAATTTTTACTAACAATTTTTCTAAAATATTAGAAGTAATCCGAAAGAAAATCATATATCTGTGTAACGCAAGTGTGTTTTCTTTTGTGTTTCAGCATTACGTGAAAAAAAAAAGATTTGACTGCACGTCAAATACTTTATGCATTCAATCCATACCTAATACCGTAATAAGCAAAAAATAATTCAAACAGATGTAAATGCCACGACAAATTGTAATTTAAAATAAAAAGGAAAAATAAAAAGAAAAAAAATGAAATTAGATAGTGAAAATAATGCGAAAATTTCATATCATATTTACATGAAATTAACATTTTGAAAGTGAGAAAGGAAGAGACAGAAAGGGAAGAGAGGGAGAGAAAGAGAAGGAGTGCAAGCAAGAAAAAGGAAAAGGGAAAAAGGAAGAAAGAAATGGCAATAAAATAAGCTTAAATTGCTTTATTGGCTTAGTTAAATACGACAAAATGGATGTAATCAAATTAGTTACAATTTTTTTGTGAAATTTGATGGGTTATTTTCATCAAAGCATTCATTTTTTTTCTCTCTCTTTCTTAACCAATTCTTAAAATAATGGTTTTTCATCCAGATCTTTTTCTCATTTCTTCTTTTTTTATTATCTTTCCATCTTTTCTCTCTTTCTTATCTAACTTCGCTTTTCTTATCTTTGCAACAATCTCTTTTTTTCTCATTTTTACTACACTCGATAATTTTGGAATACGAAATTTGAAGAAGAAAAAAAAAAGAATAAATTGCCCATAAGATAATTAGTAACTAAATTGACTGGAATTGATATAATACATCATGTGTTTTGATTGTATCGCTTTGCTATTGAACCTTTTTTAACAATGAAATTTTTTTTCAAAAAAAGAAATACATTTCGTTAATAAAATAAAAATGGAATGATAAAGAAATTATCTGACTACCGTAATTTACGTGCATTAGAAAAGTTTTGCATAGAAAATGTCGAGGATTACGGTAGATAGATTTAATATATTCTCATTTAAAAAGAATTAAAATTAAGAAAAGTAAATGAGAAAACATTTTTTCCCAATCGTACACAATCGCGTGCAAACTATATCTTAACATTTATCACAACAACAAAAATAACATTAATCCTGAGTTATTGAGGAGTAATGATAATTTGACAAAATTTGAAATTTGGAAAAAAACAGTGATTTATTACCATAACATGATCGATGATCACGATAAATACAGCTTATAACCCGAATGATCATGATTTTTATTATGATGAATTATGGAATTTGACGTGCATAATATTTCATTCTGAATGGATTGGCGGTGATTAGATGTTACAGCATATTTATGTCTAATCCTAATTAATCCAATTGAGTGCTAAGAAAATAAATTTGTGATTTTCAGTAATTTGTCTATTTTCATTTTTAAACAGCTTTTTTTTCTTAAATTACCAATTTTTTGACTCTTTCATATAATTTTTATGCATTTTATTATCAAGGGAATTGATTTGATTATCTATCTGTTTCTATTTTCGATTACGGAAGATAAATTAATGAAAGCGATAATTAATGACTGATCATATCGGATGTTTAATTTACACTAGCAACGTGTTTATGCAGACGTAATATTGCGTAAAATGGTTAAATAAAAGGTATCGCAAAAAATTCAATTCAATGAAGGAGAATTTTTAAATATGGAAAGTAAACTAACATTAATTTAAATTGGGTTTACAAAATTTTGATTAGGTTCGATTATATTACTTAAACTTGCAATGTTATCAGTTTCTTAAAATAATTTAAAATTTCATCTTCAGTTCTGTCCCGACTCTTTTTTCTCTCCGATCAAAAACTGTCCAAATTTTCTTCTACTTTTGATGAAATGTTTTTTCATGTTGAAAAAATATAAAAATTTCATATTCGAAATAAGAAAAAAGTACGACAAAAAACATTTGGAATTATCCAAAATATCTTAATTTTAAATCATTCAAATTCTTATTATGAAATGATTAGAAAAATTAACATTTCAAAATAATTCTGGAAATCAGCGATTTTTACATACTGTCTTACCTGAACACGTGATTCGAGAAGATCTAAACGTAGCGCTAACGCCTCACGCATAAATACATCTGGATAATGGCTTGCTTCAAATGCATTTTCCAATTCCTCCAATTGCCAACCCGTAAAATTTGTCCTTGTTCGTCGTCTTTTACATTCTAACTTATCGTTACCTAAGAAATTAATTTTATCAGGTAATTAATTTAAACAAACCACAATTTGGAGTTTTTATGATAAAACAACTTATATACATCAACTATTTCTAAAAATTTTCGTTCAAATATTTTGAAGAATGCTTCAAAATTCAATAATCTATTTATATATATCATAAAAAGAAATCCATGATATATAATTATTAAATCGGACCAGGTTTTTTTTCGTAATTCTTACTTAATAACTATATCAAAAGATGTTGTTGCTATTTTTACTTCAATAAAAGTTATCTTTTGAGAAGGTATTATTTAATTATCACCTCTTCTAGAGTCCTTACAATCCACACCAAGCAAAGCGCTAAGATGTAGTCGTTGTGAATGTTGCGGTGATTTTTCATTGGGGTCTTGATCTGTCGTCAAATGATTACCGTTTCCGGTAGTATCCGGCGTGGTTGATCGTGATGATGCTACTTCTGATTCGTTGGATGATGTCGGCTGTTGTGCCGTTGATAAATCTACTGAAATTCAAAAAACAAGTGATAAGCGTGTTATATCACGTAATTTTGTTAACCATGTCTCACGTAAGCTCCACCTCGTTATTATTTGTTATCAAAATGAATTCTACTGAAAACAATTCAGTGATTACAAAATTCATATGCATAACAAGTCATTGTAAATAACACTTCTGTAGCAAAAAATAATCTGCCAAAAAAAGCCAGAAAATTTTCTGTTGCTGTCTGATAATCATTATGTACAATTTGAAAATCTTAATAAAAAGTCTGTCGAAAAAATGGATAATTAATTAAACATACTTCCTTTAACAAGTTGCTGTTGCATTTTCCAGCATTCCTTCCAAAATTGTTGCATTCCAATAGTTGTAAGCATTGGGAAAATTTTTTCTAAATTACATTTCATTTTTATTTTTTTTTGTATTAATAAAATTTTTCTTTTTAACTACAAAATTTTCAAATGCCTTTCCTCAAAGAATTAAAGTATGATCAAAAATATTTATCACATGATAATTATCATGATATTCGGTAGATATCACTGATATCAGATGAACGATGTGATAAGCGAATGGTGAATATAGTAATAATAGTAATGAACAGCAAAAGTTAGCAAAAAAATTAAGTATTTTAGAATAAGCAATTTCTATTAAATATTTTGAAAATATAGAACTGGATGATTGAATTCAAATAAATCGTCCTTCTCAATTTTACATTAAAAAGATAAGAAAGTATATGAATTTGAAAAACTAAATTTTTTGATTAAAATGAATCGAATTTTCACCATGAAAGCCGAATATTTAAAAAAGGATTTTTCACAGCAGATAAAGTTTTATAAGAAGGAAAAATTACGGATAGAGTTTTTTGATGAACTTTTAAATTAAAATCATCATTTAATTCAAAAATTTTTATTTCAACGACTGCAATATAATTTTTTGACATAGCAATATAAAAAATTTACAATTTATTAACAAATTTATAAAAGGTGAAAACTAAGAACTTAATGAGCTTATAAAAAATACATTAATAACGAATCAAATTAAATCTTTTTCTTTTCAAAATTGCACATCATTTAAAAACTAAAATGGAAATGTAAGCATTGAAGCAAAATGTAAAATTATCAATTATTTATGGATTAACAAATACATTATATATTAATAACGAATCAAATTAAATCATTTTCAGCATTGAAACAAAAAAAGAAGTAAAATATGAATTAAGAATTTTAAAAAATATATGTATTAAGGAAATTTGAAATTAATAATTTTCTATTACATCAACATACATATGAAAGTAATTTATACTAAAGTTTTTCCAATGAATATACTAAGAGATTTCTTAACTTTAAAAGTTAGCTTTAACATTTTAAGCTAAAAGAGAGGAAAGGAGTGAAATTTATCCAATCAGCAAAAGGAAGGAATGAAATTGGAGGCGGTATTTGTACTGCAACACCAATCTAACCAAACAATTGATTAAGCTTTTTTCTCTCTTACCACCACCGGAAGAAGCAATTGGAAGAAAAAAAGATTCCATGATAAAGGATATTGAAATTTTTTATGAAACTTAAAAAATTATTTTGTTAAAATTTATAACAGCGCTAATGGTGGAGTAACAAAAATAATTAGCAATGAAAACGAAAGGAAAAGTAAAATTATCACTAAATTAAAGGATAGGAATCTAAATATCATATAAAATAATAACGAATTCATATAGAATTCGCACGTTTAATGTGATAAGTAGTATTTTACGCATGGTTATGTTACAAGCGTATATTAACGAGCTGAAAAAAGTTAACTTACAAATTTGTTTTTTTTTATTGCATTTAAAATATTTTAATACTTGCAGTATATTTCGACGTTCAAAAATTTTGTCCTTCAAAAATTTCGAATGAATGATACTGAAATAAACTTAACGAACTTTTTTAGTGATATTTTGCAATGATCTATAATTGAAATTATTTGAAATCAAAATGTTTGTTTTCAAAAGACGAAAAGATGAAAAATAATTATCAGTACTGTCATTAACTTCAATGTAATATATCGATATAGTAAAAGGTAAAATTGATTTAAGAATTTTAAAAAATGAAATATTACAGCAGTTTAAGAATTTTGAAAAATGAACTATAAGTTTGGGGATTTTAAAAAATAGAATATAAAATTAATACAAGGATTTTAATCAATGGGAAGCATTTTTTATAAATCAGATATATACTGTAAAATGATTCAAGAAAAATGCTAATTAATAAAAGAATAAATGAAAATGAAATTTTATTTAGGAATTTTATTTAAATTTCCCTTAACTGAAATTTGATTTTGAAATTTTACTAAAGACGTATTCTATATACAGGTTTAAAACTTTAGGAGAAGTAATACTAACAAAGGAAAGGATTTTGAAGGAAAGTGATGAAAGAAGAGAAGGAAAATGGAAGAGGAAAAGAGGGAAAAAGAGGTAGAGATTAAAATGCTAATTCACACAGATATGTCTGTGTGACAAATAAGTTGTTATTTTTTTGCTTTTTGTTTTCTTTTCTTTCTGAAGATAAAAAATATTTCATCGGAATTGTTTTTTTCTCGTATTATTTGAATTTGAAATTACAATATGAAATGATAAAAAAGATAGGAATATAAAAGAGCAAAGAATTTAAAAATGCATGAATTATTTAGAATAATGAAAACAAATTGAGAAGTTTTGTAAAAATAATTGTGATAATATCAAAAGAATAATAAATAAAGATCAATTTTTCTCTTTTTTTTAAAAATTTTCTCTTAACCATGCTTTTGATTGAAATAAATATATGATTCATAAAGAAAAAAGGAAAGGAATTTCATATTTCAAGTTCAATTTTAAAATTGAAAATGAAAAAGAAGAAATATAACTCTTTGCTACGTTTTGTTATACGGTAAGAGAAGAAAAATAAAAGATTATTTATTGGAAGGTGAGAAGGCGGGATAAAGGCATATTTTAACTTTTTTTTCAACTTTGTTTTTTATATTTAACGAGTTTATTTATGAAAAATTACTACTGTTAAATAATAACGATAATAATTAACTAAAGGAAATGGAGAAAATAACAATAATAATGATAACGATAAGCACTAATGATAATAGTAATAACAATTATAATAATAATAATTATTATAATAAGGGCTGAATGTGAAGAGTAAAGAATGATAAAAATGTAGAAAAAGTGATGATAAAAAAATGTGTATTTTCACGTGTTATTTTATTTTTTCTCAAACAACAATAATTTATAAATTTTTTTCCATTAGATAATAAAAAGAATTTCAAAATTTTAAACAACTGAAATTAATTTGAAACAAAGAAAAAGAAACAATGTAAGTGTTGTTGATTGATGAAACGACTGAAATTAAATCACACGAAATTATTTTATCGATTACTGCCCAAATAACAGAAGGGATAATTTTTCTGGGATAAGATTTATGACAGATCATTTAATGATATGCAAATAATATTCTTCTGCCATTTTTGATTGACTTAATTAATGAATGAACCTGTCGGATAATGGATTGGATGAGATAGCAAAAGAGACAATTGATCATTTACATAGCTCAATAAGGCACTCAACATACTCATAGATTTACGGCAGTTTGATCATGAATTAATTTCATTTCATACACTTTGCCCTCTCCATCAAAAATAAAACTGTGTGTGTGTGTGTGTGTGTGTGTGTGTGTGTATGTAAGTCTGTCTGTCTATCTGCTGTCGACAACAATAAAAATTAGGGTTGTAAATTTGACAGCTCTTCAATCACTAATTAATTAATACCGTCTCTCAAGCAAACACACACATACAGTTCGACTTACTATCATCTTCCAAATCTTCACATTTTCAACTCGCTCGCACAATATGCAAATCAAAAAGAGATTTGTAGTTGTTTTCCTTCCTCTCTTCAAATCACTTTTTTCTACTCTTTTTTCTGATGGATTCATCAGTTTTAGTGAAAGAAAAAAAGAGAAGAGAAATAAATGTTAAAATAAGAATGAAGAATTAAGAAGGAATGGAAAGATTATTCAGTAAATAAACATCAAAAAATTATTTCATTTTCATAAAAATTTTGCAAATTGTTTATTTTAGATAAATGTTGAAAAATAGCAAAAAAATGATGAATAAATCCCTTCATTTTTCTTCTTGAAGAAATTTATTCTTCATTTTTTTGCCATTTATTTAATTCATTTTTCAACATTTATCAACACAAAAAATTTTTTGGTGGAATTTTGCTATCATTTAATTCAATGATTAAACAAACATAATTAGGAAGAAGTGAATTTAAAATAGGTTTATAAATTGACAAATTTTGCACTAAATGACGTTTCAAGAAAAATAAAATTATAAAATTAATAAATGACTGAAATAGTAAATGTTTCATTTGTAATTATATCCGGTGTTTAGTACTTCGACCTTTGCCTTTTTGCCATTCCTTAACATTTTAGATTTCATTCGCAATCATTTCAAATTCTTAATAAAATTGTGCTTAATAAATGAAATCATCAATTTGCATCTTTTTCTTTTTATTTTTTATTTTGATTTCTTAGAAAAAAAGGAAGAAAAACGTGAAAGAGAGAGAGCGAGAGTGAGAAGAGAGAGAGAAGAGGGGAAGGAAAGCAGAAAAAAAAGATAAGGAGAATTTGCATGAATCATTTAACCTCGACAAATGATGCCATCCAACTATTTATATATTTCAGCTTTGTTGGATATGGAAGACAGGGTTTAAATTACATTTCAAGATTGAATTTGATGAGATAAGCTGTTTCATCTCTTCTTTTTTCTCTCTTCACATTTCTAGCGATGTTGAAAACGATCATTATCATTATTATCACAATCATTACCACTGTTATCACCGTCATTCTTGTTTAAAATAATAGCAAGATTCATTGAAAAAAAGCTAATTCTATATAATTAAAGGTTTCCTGTACAGTGAAAATGAGAACAACATGAATTTCAGTTAAAAAAGCAAAAGTATGTGCACTGATAATCAATTATTGAAGTTTGTGAAAAGCATAATGTTTATCATTAAAATGGATAATTACTATTTCAAAGTCTAACATTATTGACTGAATAAATTCAAAAATCAAAGTATCATTGTTGTCACTTTAATGATTATCGGTGTCATTACTGATTACTAATATCACTGTCGTTACTGATGAAAAAAAACATATCTGAATAAGTTATCAGCTAATTTCAAATTTCATATGTACATGACAAATTAATTCATGCTTCTTTCTGGATCGATTGATTCCAAGTTGTCAAGTCGGTTAATTCACATTTAATCCGAATATTTTCAATTAATCTATTCATTTTTGTTCATCGGGGCGCCTGAAAGATAGCAATACTTGCAAAAAAACGTTGAAATGAAATTAAAAAATTTAATAAGGATATGGTAATTATCTAAACTTGTTTGAATATGTCAGAAAATATATGATATAAGAAAAGGCTAATTTCCATATCAATTAGTGAAAAGAGGAAAGAATGAAAAGAGAAAGAGAGAAAGCGAGAAAAAGAAATGAGAAATTCAAATTATGTTTTATATAATTTTTGTTTTCTTAAAAGTATGCATAATCTTTTAGGGTTCTTCTTTCTTTCTCTCTATCTCTTTCTCTCTCTAGTTCACTCGCTTTGTCAATTTGTGTATTTTTTTTTGCTTAATACCTTTAAATAAAAACGATGGCCTTATTTCTACTCCCAAAATAAGGGAAAGGATAAAAGGCTATCAATTTTTAATTTCATTTCAATTTTAAACAAACAGTATAACATTTACTGAAGAGCCAATAAGCAAAAATATAGTATATGATGTGATCAAGAAGAAAATGAGGAAAAGGGAATAAAATGAAATGCCTTTACTGCCAATCAAATATGGAAGATGAAATTGAATCAATTTGTTTTCAAAAAGCCATCAAGCAATTTGAGAAATTTGATTCCAAATGAATGATGATCGGTGATGTTAGGTGGGATAGATAGATGGTTAGGCCTTAGAGAGAGAAGAAAGGACATCTATGGGGGGTACCAACGAAATGATTCGGATATGCATGAAAGAAAATGAACCAAAAAAAGCTTATCCTAATTAATTGCCTGTTTTTTTTAAATGCTATATCCTATTGTTTTTTTCACTTCTCCGTTATTTCTTTTTTCCGATTGTTCATTCTGGATGAAACGATTTTTTATGAGATTATTTATTTGTTTTGCCTTCGTTTGAAATTATATTAAGAATAATGTTCAATAAATTTATACTACACCGAATGGAAGTTAACATCGAAAATTGAAGATTTTACATATGACAATAAAAAATGAAAACGAATAGTTTCAAAGGAAAAAACACTCCCAATAGGCTTGGGCAATCATTTGTATAAACAACTTAATATTGCTTCGATAATTACAATTTATACAAACAGACGTAAAGAGCTAACGTGCAGAATGTCACGTTAATTAGTTGATGAAGAAAAATGATGAATTTTACTCCATGAAAGCATGCTATATTTTCCAACGCACCTTAAATATTCAGTTTTTGAAGAATTGAAAAACATTACCATATAAACCAATCTTACATGCGGTAAATTCTCACGGGATATTTTTGGTAGCTGATTTATTGAGTAGTACACACAGCAACAACACTGTTGCCAATTAACACATATAATGAAGAGTTAATGTCATTTGGGAATTATATTCGGAGAAGTTCTACGACCGATTTTCTTCCATCATTTTGATAAATTGTGAGATGAGTGAAGCTTTCTGACAAATCATTGCGAATAAAAATTTGATAGCACAATCCTTGGAATGGAAACGCCTTCGTAGAACAGAAATGAAATTGCATTACTTACGAACTTGAAATGATTAAAGGACAAGAAAAATCATCGCACAAAATGTCCAGTCATTTTTTAGCAAATTAATTGATGTAAAGGTGGAAATTGAAATACGAATTGGGGTAGCTATTACTGGTACTAGCAAAGGAAGAAAGAAATAGACAAATTATTTAGTGATGCTTGCTAACAGCGCTACTTCTTGGCAAAAAAATGAGAATATTTGGTCTTCACGAAGATTTTCAAAACCATTAGAAGATAGCATTTTGTCATGGATTTAAACTATGACTTCATGCAATCTGGGAGTATTTTCGACGGTAGCTTTTCGAAATGATCATTGATCTTTAATTTAATTGCTTCTATCTTTAATAATTATTCACATTTCTTGAACCGGATTATTCGAATAAATAATTGAAGAAGCAACGGATTGATTAGATTTAAACAATCTAATTCATTTTCTTACTTCATAAATTAACTCCAAAAGAAACCAGTAACATTAAAATAAAGCGTATAAATGGATCGTCAAAGACTCAGCCGATGGTTATGAAACCAAATTTGAATCATATTAGATAAAATATTTTAAGTTTCAAAAATTTTCAGCCCTAAACAAATAAAAATCCTACAAAAAAACGAATTAAAATCCATATGCAATTTTATGAAATAATAGAACCATTATATAGTTCTTAAATAAAATTATCAAAAAAATACAATTACTATAATGCGTTATTATGTTACGAGTCCCAATACATAGTAGCTATAATGACCGTTTTCAGTCATAATAATAATAATAATAATATATGGTTATAATCATTGAATAGTTCCAATTATATTATGTAGCTATAATCATTTATGCAAAATTACTTTCAACCATCAAGTTTTTTTTTTTTTTTAAATTTAATATGATTATTAAATCAACGCAATCAATACATATTTAATATAAAGCACTAATCAACGCCATAAAAAGCCAAAAGCAGTAAACAAAAAAAAATGTCCATCCATATAAATGTTGCACGATATGACGTTTAAAATAATGGATATTGATTAAGTAACTCATATTAAATATAGATAATTTATGTGTTAGCTAATTAGCGGAAAACAATTATTCATTAAACAAGATATAGCTAATCTTTTTTACTTCATTGTATAATATAAATTTGAAATTTAGCATTACTAATATGTTTACATTATTAAATAGTCAACCATTGATGGATTTGATAGAAATAAATACCGTACTGCTATTATATTACCGAATATATAAATTTGAGTGATATTTAGTTTGATTAGCATATGATTCGTTTTATCTTTCTGTTTCTTCCTTTTTTTACGTGCATTTCATATAAATTTAATTGAATGCCAGTATTTTGAAATTTTATACCATCAAATTAAATACCTTGAATCATAGATTATGAAGTTGCTGCATTTTGTTACTTGAAATTTGTTCACATTTGAATATTCTGAGTGCTTCAATAATTTGATTACCTTAGACATTTCTTGCACGATGCATATGTCCCAAATGGCATAAAAAAGTTGTAAAAACTAGAAAAATTCGTCCCTTTTTTGTTCTTTCTTTTTACATGGAATACGAATTAATTTTGCTATCATCCAAAATTTATTTGATCAAAGCTTTTTTTTTTTTTGAAATGAAGCAAAATTTGAGACATGAGGAAGTTATACAGTGAGACATCAATGTGATGTAAATCAGTGTGGTGGTTTTTCTTGTTTGGATTGTTATCGTTGGCTCGGTAAGATAGGCTGTGTGTTCTTAGGAGGATTGTAGATTGATAAAGTTGGAGGTGGTGTGTTAAAGGTTACTGATTGTGTAATAGAGTGTTTAAATTACTAAAATTAAAAAAATATGGCATGCAATGCTTATAATAATATTATTGATCGGTAGTTGGAATTGCTATGTTATCTCTTTCATTTGTATTGTTAACAGTTATGATTGTTCTAAATTTTTAAGGTTTTGTTCAAAATTGTTTAGGGATAAGACTTACGAAATCATCAGTTTTACTAAGATTGATTAGTGTTATTAATGATATTGAAGGTACGTTTTCATCGCACATCTATTAATTAACAGTATTTATTGGTTATTAGCAATAATCAATTTCGTACTGACAATGAATAAGTGATAATATCCAGTTTGATTATTTTTTTAGATAAAATGTTTGGTTCAAAGCTGTCATCATTTTGTTGGGGAATCACTGCAATCGAGCAACGTCGTGGTTTTGCAACCCTAAAGGATATTTCTATTCGGTTGAAATCTGTTCGAAATATTCAGAAAATCACGAAAAGTATGAAGATGGTATCTGCTGCGAAGTACAACAAGGCGGAACGTGAATTGCGGGTAATTTTGTTTTTCTGATATTCTTGAAAAACGCTATACTGTTAGGCCGTGGATGCTGATGTTCTCTAAGTATTTATATTTATTAGTAAATATGCAAGTTTCTTGTGACATACGCTTTCATGCTGTTTACAACCAAATGTTAATTAGTATTAAGGGTGCTCGAGTGTTCGGCGTTGGTGCATTACAATTTTACAATAATATTGGTGCGGCAGAAGCAAAAGATAAACTTCCAGAAGTTGCTATAGCTTCGGCAGAAAAAGAAAAACGTTTGTTAGTGTTGGTTACGTCAGATCGAGGACTCTGCGGCTCTGTACACTCGGCTGTTGCAAAGGTATGCCACTGCTAGTTTAAATAACTATTATGCTCATAGTACTGCTTGGTAAACATGAAATAGTATTGTTTTACTTCACTTGTGTTGTTTTATTGAAACTTTGCTGCAATCTCAACGCGTATGTAGATAATCGAGTAAGGTAAAAATATTTTTTTGGTTTAGTATGTTTTGTTTACAGGAGGCTAAACGATTATTAACAGAAAAGGCATCGGAGGCAGATTACAAACTGGTACTTATCGGTGATAAAGCTAAAGCATCTATGCAAATTGTTCATGCAAATCATGTGCTATTCTCATGCAATGAAATTGGTCGACTTCCTCCAACTTTTGAGGATGCTTCAGTTATTGCTGCCAAAATTCTGTCATCGAATTTCAAATTTGATAAGGTGATTTAAATTTCCCAACTTTTTCTGTACCATAAGTTGTAGAAATGCATGGTCTGAACCAAATATTCCATGGTATTGCAAAAGTTTTAGCTTTAGCTGTATTTTCATAGTGTTGCGTGACCTAACTGTTAGTCATTAGCGATTATTAGTGGTCGATTCTTTAGGTACAATGTGCGACAGAAAGTTACAATTTTTTTTTTCAAATGAAAAGTTTTTTTTTTCTAGAAAATATAAAAGCGCATTGCTTCGACATTATTTCTTTCATGATTTACAGTTATTAGTTCGTAATTTTTACTACACATTTTTCATTTTTATTCACTATTAGTGTTACTATACATCTTACATTTTTATTTATTGTCAAGTCGAATGCAGCAATATTTTTCCAAAAAGAAATCCTTTTGTAATTGCAGGGCTTTATACTGTATAATAAATTCAGATCTGTCGTTTCATATAAAACATCTGTAATACCAATGTTTACGCTGGATGCAATTATGGTTCGTTTTTGAATGTATTTCTCATTTTTATTCTCTTATACTTGTACTCGACTGTTACATAAGATGTAAACTTTTTTAAAGTGATAATTTACGTGATAATATTCGGAAAAATATTTTCATTGCTGGGCCTACAAAGACATACGATGCCTTCTATCGTGTATGTTCAGAACTGTTTTCACAATTTATTTAGCATACATTTCTAGCTTTCCGGCGAATATATTCATAATATATTCATAATTCATAGTGGTGTAAAAGGTTTAACAGCTATCTTTTTCCTATGAAGAATTTATTATGCAGAAGCAACCAACAATGTCCATGTATGACTCAGTCGATGATAACGTGCTAAACGATTATGCCAATTACTCGTTAGCTCAACTACTTTATTACGCTCTAAAAGAATCTGCTGCATCTGAACAAAGTTCCCGAATGACTGCCATGGATTCAGCAAGCAAGAATGCTGGTATGTTGGAATAAGCTTTAGACTTTTTAAACTCACATTGAGAAACATTTTAAAGAAAAGTAAGTTGAAACTTAAATTTTAATCCTTTCTACTTCCAGAATTTGAATTCGTGCTTTCTTTCTATACTAAAATTTGAGATTTTGCTAAATAAGTTATTGCGAGATTATCGTTGCGTAAAAGTTTTCATTTTATTTCGGTTTCCGTTATCACTGTGTAAACTATCTAACTTTGTCTTAGTGACTCATAATTTTCAGGTTTTGTTAGACTATGTGATTAATAAAACGAGATTATGCACTGGTACATTAAGCACTTTGTAGAAAATTGAGAATTACATCCAATCAAATCTTTTTATTTAATCCATCTAAAATGTCCTATTATGTTAAGCGCTGTTATCATATAAATGATATTTCCGAAAATATAGTGAAGTAAAAATTATAGGTGAAATGATCGATAAACTGACGATGTCCTTCAATCGAACACGGCAGTCAGTTATTACACGCGAATTGATCGAAATTATATCTGGAGCTGCATGTGTTTGAAATTATTAGGGTTTATTTCCCAAGCTTGATAATGTGAAGAATTTTGATGTGATATGCATATTTGAATAGGATAATATTCTATAAAATTTCATTTTAACGTATTATTGGTAGTTTTGCTGCGGCTTAACCCCTTACATGGATTTTGTAATTCCTGCCATTATTGTTCGGAACTTATCACTAGGCGTGATAATTTCCGAGACATTTTGATCTGATATTATTGGGAGTGGGTCTGAATGGATGAATAAACAGTGACATGACGAAGATAGTAGAAAATGCAATTAAAAATGAAATTTTCGCATGGAAAGATGATAATATTTCAACTGATTTATCAATTTCTGCTGAAGTTATCATTTGGACATTGCGTCGATATCGACAAAATTATTAGCTTGATAAGTATCATATATGGCAAAACTGATAAGGAATTATGCTTATGCTCTGTGGTGTAGAGCATATCTAGATGGGAATTACGATGATCTAGAATAATTTCAAAGATCTTATTGGATACATTTGATTCATGGCTTTTTGCTTAAAGTTTTTGAAGGAATTTTATTTCAGCTTTTTGGTTTTTTTTATTAAAGGAACAATAGGGTAACTTAAGACATTTGCCTGGGTTATGTCTTGAATGGATTTGTACTGGCATGGAAGGAGCGACTAATAATCAGCCAGGTTTCGATCGAAGCCATGTGGCAGAAATGGAAGAAGCAGCAAATATAATTATGGTTTGTTCCTAATCTCAGAATTGATCGTAGCTAAGAGAGTTATGTGATCACATTCACATGATTTTTACGTAATGCTTGTTTTACCAAATTTGCGCTACATGTTAAGGATCGTTGAATTTTAAATTAAAATTTTATAGACGAACTGTAATCATTATATCTAATTATTTCAGAACCTTCTCTGAATGTTTCGTATTTACTTATATTTATGTCTTTGCATAAAATATGAAGCATTATGATTTTTCCCTTCGGATTCCTCATACTTTTTTTGATTTAATAGAAATAAGAGATGATATGAATATTTGAAACTCAGAAATTTTCAGTCACCGAATATTTCGTATGATGCTCGAAAAGCTGCCGAACATTTCTTCCTTAGTATTCGTAACGGGAAATTTTCTGCAGAATATTGTCGTCTAGTAATTGGTAGCTGAGTTTGACTTTTATCGTTTCCTTTTTGTTTGATTTCCATCTTCTAACTAACTTCTAAATGTGTGAAAAAATATCTTAAATTGATAAAGAGTCATGTTTGCCGTTAGTTTTTTCTTATTCAAAAGAGTCATCTTTATATGTTTATAACTTAGAACTAAAGCGGAGCAGTTTTTTTTTGTAACTGAATTATTATTGTTTTTAGAAGCAACATCCAATGAATTTGTGATCTTTGAAATGGTCCAACTTATGGTTATGAATCTTTTCAAGCAATGGTCCATATTGCAACCACCGATTTTTCGTCAATGTTTTGAATATCTTCTAGAAAACGCTGTTCACAAATTTAGGTGAGTTCTTTTTCTTAATAACCATATTATTTAAGTTATTCCCAGTCAACATATATAAACACTATTTTAACAATGTTATTTCATTTGAATATTTATTGGAACGAATTTTCACTTTCGACAGGGCCTCAAAGTTGATTCGAGTCGAGATGCTAAGAGCATGTGCGAAGTTACTGAAGCGATCTATTTTTGATGGTAAAGCTTGTGATGCAGATACAGTGGATCAAACTGTCCATTTCCTGTTGACTAATGAAGACCCGCAACTTGTAAATATGTTTGTTCTTTTAGTTTAAATGGATTTGTTGTTCTTGATTATGATATTTCGATATTGGATATATGTATTTACGAGTTTTTACACGTTATTCACCTCGTAGAGGGCAAGAGATGAGGGTGATATATATATGAAGTAATACACTTTTGATTTCAGAGAAAGACGCCTGAATAATTCTTTAATTTCCACTTTTCCAGCAAGCGATTGCATGTGAATTCATCGAAGCAATTGCCAGTGAATTTGTGACATCGTGGAGGATGTCTAATCTTGGAATCAGTTTTGATTTTCATCTCAGGGCTAGGCGTTCATTTGAGGTTTCATTTCTGTAGTCATATACATTAAAAAAAAACTATTTTAAAGTTAAATCTTTAAATTTTCTGTCTTGTTAGGGTTTCCAGAGCTGTCAT